CCCCTCCTGGAACATTGGCCATCGATGACAGTTCTCCAGCATATGTGGTCGTCCTGTGCTGCAGTCTTAAGCTGTCCCCAGGTGGATCTTGAGCGCCTAACATCGTCGTTGAGGTCCCTCCCCCAAGTGTTTTTTGGCCTTCCTCATTTCCGCTTTCACTGTGGATTCCACGTCAACGCTTGTCTGGTGATGTTGAATGGTTGCTTACGTGAAGTGTGGCCAATCCAACCCCATCTCCTCCGCAAGATGTCTTCCTCCATCGGAAGCTGCCTGCATGGTTTGCTTCCAGAGCTCAAGGTTGCAGATCTTAATCTTAGGATTGTCTGCAAAGGTCTGTACTTTGTGGGTTGTTGCCTTTGTGGTACACCAGGTTTCTGTTCCATATAACAGGACAGACTTAACATTTGTATTAAGCAAACGAAGCTTGGTGTGTATTGCTATTATTAGTTATCCGGTAGTACTTGAGTACTTGAGTATGACAACAGTCAACCTGGATATAGGACTTCCATGAAATAGGTGATTATTAGTCATCTGGTAAAAACTCAGGCATGACAACGGTTACCCTGACTAAAGCTTGCTGTTTTTTTTGTGTTTGTCATATACAATGTGTATATCGTTACAAGATGATTTAAAAATTACTCAAGAAAATAAATGTTTACATTATTTGTGTGTGGCCATTATTCAGTGATAGAGACTTAAGGTGTATGTGTGTGTGTGTGTGTGTACTTGATGTGAATATGCAAGCTGAAAAGTTTATTTTTTGAAAACAGTTAACCCATGTATCTGTATTACATAATGTAATATTATGGCACAATAGTTGGATTTACCAAGTGATTTTATGGTTATTGTGGCACATATACTGATAGGTCGATGATGCAAATTCTACTATGATGAGTGAACTTATGGTTAATTTCAAAAGTGTTCTTTGGTCATCATTCTGGATTTTTTGTAAATTTGTTCTCATTTCCTCTTAAACTATTTTTATAACTAAATGTTTGATTTGATCACATGGGACCAACATGTCATTTTCATGTTCAATCATTCTGCTCCAATGTGTTGACAACTGTTTCTTACACAGACAGTTTAACTTTGTATACTTGAGATCGCAAGTTTGCAGTGCACTTTATTTTTTTATTTCACAATCTGATGCAATATGGCTGAATGATGGCCATTTTATCTTTCATTATGGCCTTAACAGTTTCTCTGGTATGCAATGCTGATTCAGTGTGATTGTTCACATACGATACACTATCAGATATTCAATGATTGTGATTATTCTCATAATAAGCTTCTCTCAGTGACTTACGGTGTCAGATGTTTAAATACACCGAAGACAATTCATTTACAATGACTATGTTGTGGATTATAAAGAGAACCACCTTCCAGTGAATCCAGTAGTCACAGATGAATAATAGGTGGTGCAGAAAACACTTGTATGATGTGACAATGTTTTGATGCTGATTTATGCAAGTATTCCAAGGAAAGACTGTCATCAGATGCTACTACCTCAGATAGTGTGGTTCCAATACTTGGTGGATGTGAGCCAGCCTTGCAATACAAATCAATAAATATACCATGTTCATGTTAGAACTACAAAGTTGACAATTGAGTTGCAGTCTGTGTTCTTGTGGAACTTTTACTGCATATACATGTACCATGTCTAATTGCAACTACATGTATGGTATTTACTGGGTAGTATGAACAACTGGAGTGATCAATGTATACAGTAATAGTATTCCATCCTGATATCATCTGTTGATGGTCAGTTACCTTGGGTTGTTCCTCTAAAGCATCTTCTTAATTTCATTGAATATATGCAAGGGGAAGGGGATAGATCAGTATTTGTTTTATTCACCCACTATGATTTGTTGACTTCTTTTTAACTTTTTTTTTAACAACACAATCAATCACAAATAAATACAAGATGCAATTTTTTATGTGAGACATATTTTCTTTCTAAAAGTAAATCGGTAATTGCAGTGGATTTCTTTTAATGGTACGAGAAGAAATATTGCTCAATTTTAGTGGATTTGATGACAGGGATATTCATTGGGTTTTGAATTCACTGGTTTGTGAAGAAAAGAATAAATCTATGCTTTACTTTGCATATTCACTGGGTGTTAATTTAGCAATCAACGATCGATCATAATTAAGACTCTGCAAATAATCTCCCAGTTTACTGTATCAAACTAAACATCTCCATCTCTGATAGAATATGTCTGTGATCTTGGAGAAATTGAAGATGAGAAACATTTCCTTTTCACATGCCAGCTATATGATAAAGAAAGAACCAGCCTTTTTACTAAACATAAAATGCATGGAGAGACATTAATAAACATATTAAATAATAAAAACGATCACATAATTAAAGACATTTCAAAACACATTTATACTTGCTTTATGCTTAGGGAGCAAAAAATCAAACAATAACTTCAGTACCAGCTGCCTCAAAAAAAACCCCACAAAACACAGATTTACATTTATTTACATTATATTACAATTATTCATTTATCTCTTATTGTGAGATGTGTATTTATTTCATTCATTTACTGTATTTTTAGTATTTCCTTTTACTTTCATTTTTTTATTATTACATGTTTTTGACTTTATTGTACTTTTTGTCAAGATCTCAAATGGGATACGATAGCAATAAAGAATTACTTACTTACTTACTTACTTACATGCCAAACTTTGAAATATTTAAAAGAATCCTCAAAAAACATCTGATGTTAGAACTGCAAGATTGTTAAGTTGTATTACATTTATTCACCAATATTTGTTTTTGTCACTAGCCTAATGACAATATTTTAATGGGTCTGATTAGGCATCACAATCACCATGGCGAGTATGGCAGACAATGGGAAGTATTGAAAAAGGTAGGGCACCAATCTTGTCAAAAGTAAATAATACACTGTTAATTTGTGTGATTGGATTTGGACAGAGTGTGACTGATTAGGATGGATTCATTTTGATGCAAAACATTTATTTATTGTATACTGGACCATCAAAATACAATTATTTTAAATGTAGACAAACTGTTATTTCCGCAAGTGATTTTGTGAGAGCAAATACAGTGATAGTGAACATGTTTAACATTTAAAAGCTCTTAAAGTTTCTAAGCATGGTTTATATTCAGTGTCACTCTCTAATGATTGGTCCGTCAATTTGAAATGGAAACACATTTACAATTATTTTGCTAACACTGGACCTTTATTTGTTCTAAGTGTGACACATTTGATATTGTGCCTGGCAAAAATGTTATTAATGAGATTGTACAAGGGCTGAGTAAGTGGAATCAAGAGAAGAAAATGATGGCTACTGCCATCTTGCATAAGCACTATCCTGTATTTGACAATGGGTGAGTATACATACACAATGTAAGATGATTGTTATAACTGACATAAATTCATGATAGGAATTAAAGCTTTGGTTACAGTATTATAATTGCTGCATCATCCCCTTAACTGGGCTCCAACATCCCCTTAACTGGGCTCCAACATCCCCTTAACTGGGCTCCAACATCCCCTTAACTGGGCTCCAACATCCCCTTAACTGGGCTCCAACATCCCCTTAACTGGGCTCCAACATCCCCTTAACTGGGCTCCAACATCCCCTTAACTGGGCTCCAACATCCCCTTAACTGGGCTCCAACATCCCCTTAACTGGGCTCCAAGCCAAAAAAATATTTTTATTCTGAACCTAAACTGGATGTGCATTGTATGGCTGACTTTGAAAATTGTGGTCGTCATGCAGTCATGTGCATTTTTGAGTTGTGTAAATGGTGTATTTTACATGACTTGTATTTGTTGCATTCTGCTTATCTAACATAACAGTTGGGTTTAAAAAAAAAAAAAAATAACAGACATGATAATCTCATTCAGGTTGGTTGCTCATCAGGTCAAGTTTTGGTACCCAATAGACAGCATAATGAAACAATATTTTTTTGAAATAACCAACTTCAATACTTGCATTGCTTCTTGTGAAGTGTTTTATTGTGAAACTGTATTCTATTTTATATTCTTAGAGCTTCCTGTGTAAATAATGATATTGTAAACAGAGGAATACGACGACCTGTCTCTATTCTTGGATCTCCACCTAACGTGCATCCTAGAAATGCACCTCCTGATGTGAAGCAAGCTGTCTGCAGTGAAGCTGTGAGGCAGAATGCAGCATTTGGTAAAGATCATGGAAGTCCACATAAGCTACCAAGAAGAGGATATAACAGGACTGAATACCATGAAAAGAGATCCCATTCACGGCCATCTGTTTCTTACGAGGCAAAATATAGCAGTCAAGTGGGTCGGAATAGCAGGAACACAGATCAGTGCAGGCAAGCCAGCAGGATGAGCAAGAACACAGATCACTTCAGACGAAGGGGTAGGACAAATAGGGAGGTAGATCAGTGCAGTCAAGCAAGCAGGGAAAGCAAGAAGATGGATCAATGGTCATCTGTTAATGGTTGTGATGTTTCTCAATCAGATACTGGCTATCTCAGCTATGGTGATAACAACAAAGATATGAATGACAGTTTGGGCAAGATTGACACTCGGCTAGATGTACATGCAACAAAACACTATGTTGAAACAATCAAGGTATTAAAAACATTCTTCTACATTCATCATTTATATGCAGTTGACTGACACCACTTGATACATATAATCTGAACATATGATAGGCAGTACTGACATTAAACTGGCAAAATCATTATGTGAAGCACTCATCAGATGTCAATTAAACTTGGCACATGGGTTCTCTGAGGCCACATACATGTTTAGTTTAGGCCAGATTTTTATTATCCCTTGTTTCGCAAACCCGCCGAATGAACAAGAGCCGGAAATGAAATAAAAATAAAATTTTATTTCAGGGTAATTTCTTGCGCCCGTCGACTTGTAAGTGCAAAAAATTGCTAAAAAAACTTATTTTTATCCTCATTTTTTTTCTGCCCGCCGCATAACAAACCCAAGTTGCATTTTCGTAAGAGTATCATGATCAAAGTCTCCCCAGATGAGAAACGAGGTTATACATGGAATAAAATTTTATTTCATTTCTACTCTTTGATCAATGATCTCACTTACAATTCTTTGAGAATCACACAAATCTAAAGTAATAGGAAAAAAAGAAATAATTTTTTTTTTTTTTCGCCCTCCTCAAAAAAATTGCCTTATAAAAATTCGAGAAACAAGGAATAAAAAAAGTCTGGTCTTAGGGTAAAATTGTGTACACACTATTTAGTTAATTTGCATAAATTATAAGTGTTGTAAATATATCTGAGTGTGCTCTTTGATAATCCACATAGCTGGTTACTTTAGGATGGAAACCATGCATATTAATAGATAATTTGCATAAATTGGGCCATGTGACCTCATTAATATGCATATCTGTGATATCTCAAACACTGTTGAAGATGGGACATGCAACCAATACTATAATGTTGTTGTACATAATAAATATATTACCAAATGGTTATACAATTACCCCATAGCCGCTGAGAACAACCAGAATTACTGCTTGCAGTTATTTTGTTAGCTCCGCTGTCAAGCAAAGCTAATCATATTACTGCTTGTCTGTCATCCATCGTCCAGCCATCTTTTTACTTTTTCGTATTTTTCTTGAAAACTGCAAGTCTGCTTTGATACTTGGTGTATATGTACCATCAGTAGACCTCTCTCAGATTTGTTCTTTTCATGAAGATATCTACAATTTTCTAATTTTGATGAATATTTTTGTCATTTTTGGTATATAAAAAAAGTTTTGAGTTCTTGCTGAAAACCGCAATTCTGATTGCTTTAGTACATATATTATACATATAAGTACCTCAGGTGGACCTCTCAGATTTGGATAGATTTCTTTCAAACCTTGTACATACATTAGACATTATAGGTCCCTGATGCATTTTGTTTTTCAGATTGGATTCAAAAAGGCTGACTGCTTGCTATTTTATGTTTTAATGAATGTAGTTCTAGAGTCATCTCTGACATGTTTTGACTGATTATGTTCAGATTTTAGATATTCATTATATATCAGGTGATAGATATTTAGATATATTGGTTTGACGATCTGATTCAAAATGGCTGACCAGTGTCAATTTTGTTTTAATTAATGCTGTTTCAGAGTAATTTCTCTCAATAGAATAGAATTGAATAAACTAGTACTTTATTGAAACTGTAAAGAAAATATTACATTTTTTTTTTCTTTATAGACATCAATGAAGTTGAAAACATCAGTAACATATTAAGTAAAAATATATAAGAAAATAGCAAAATATAAGTACCGGTACTCATTTGACAATCAAATTACAAGATGACTGAATATCAATATTATTATTAAAAAAAATCATCATAATCAAGCATCAGCTTATGGATCCATATCTCTGACATGTTTATATTACTCTAAACAAAACTATATATCTTAAATTTGATAACTAACAGGGACTGTGCCATGCATGGCTTGTTTTATCTATTTTGACAGAATAAAATATTCTTCTGAATGCTTGATTTATACATTTGAGATGTGGGTTGTAATCCTTGGTACATCTCATATGACTTGTAACCATATCATGATTGGTTTTGCATGCCTGTCAATAATTTTAAAATTTGCATATTCATCACCAGAATGGTTTCAAATTATTTTATTATTGCAGGGCATGTTTTAACTCGGTCCAGTCATGGTTTTTTTTATGGTCATGCTATAATTAGATTTCACTGTTTCCTTTGTTTTCCAGAATACAAGACACGTAGCTGATCTTGCTCAGACGTACCACAAGATAAGTTTTGAGAATCTCAATATGATGACTAATGAGGTAAAACGAGCTTTCATAAAGTGTTTAGTGAGAGAACAAGAAACATGTGGAAGAAAATTTCTTGAGTTTATTAAAAATATTGAGAAATGTTACAAGACTGGTAAGCATTCAGTGATATCTCATATTGCAGTAATTTCTAACTAAAGATTAATAATTCATTATTCAAACGCCTACTAATTGATTGTTCCTTTCCATTTTACTCTACTACCCAAGATATCTCTGAGGTGCCCAACATTAATATCTCACATTGACACCTTACTTTTATGGGTAATTTTTCTATGTGTTAAATTGTATGTATTGTCTTATAGTCAAATTTGTCATATTTTAATGATCATTTACAATAAATGCAATTATTGGTTTTTATTAAAGATGAGCAAATATATAGATTTATTCTTCTGTCATAGAATGTATAGATTCATTTATTTATTTATCATGGTGCGTTTTTTTTAGATTTACGAGAAGATGACAAGAAGATCTTGGCCTTTATTGCTATTGGGATCTTATGTACATGTTATGATAATAACATATGGAGTGAAGGTTTCCATTTGCTTTATGCGTTGCATAGCTACAACATTTTCTACCTGCATATGGTGCCTTATAAAGATGAAATGATCTTTCCTGCTAATTGCATGGTAACCCTAATGGCAATGAAGATATGCCTAA